CGCCATCGACCACCCCCGCCCCGCCAAAAGCGGTGGGACGTGGGAGGAAGCTCATAAGCCCTTTAGGGTGCAAGTGGTTTAAGACATTTCTTCTTCCACCACCATTATTTCCCTGCGGGGAGGGGCTTACCCCCCCTTCCCCCCCCCAAGGTTATGAGGGAGGAGTCTCGAGGGGTTGGGTAGTCCAAGGTTGACTCGGCGAGAAAAACCTAAATCACTGATTTTACTAGTGGCCACAGTTTGGCATCCGAGGTGGGGCCGTAATAAGGGAGCCCCCCCTCGCTTGATCGACTTATTTTTATATGGCCACCAGTGCTCACAAGGGTGCTCCCGAGAGGTGCTCAGGAGGCGCCAACAAGGCCCCAGGCATGCCCCCCAAAAAAACAACATCTCCAAGCGGCCCCCCACATGCACCCGAAAAGCTCCCAAAATTTCTCCAATAGGCCCCCCAGAGGCAACCAAAACTCGCCAATAGGCCTCCGGGACTGCCAACAGACCCCACAGACGCCCCAAGAAAACTCCAATAACGCTTCGGGGAAAAAAACGCAGGCAGTCCGAAAGGCATCAAGAGACTTATGGCCCTTTCTGGTCCTCCTCCTCCTCCTCCTCCTCCTCGCCCTGTTCAACGTCCGCCTCCTCCTCCTCCTCCTCCTCCTTCTCCTAGTCATCCTCCTCCTCCTCCTCCTCCTCCTCCTCCTCCTCGTCATCATCATCCGCATTATCCCCATCATCTTCTTCTTCATCAACACCATCGTCATCATCACTGTCGTCATCATCATCATCATCATCATCATCATCATCATCATCATCATCATCATCCGCATCACCAACAGCATCATCGTCGGCATGGTTTTCCTCATTCCTCGTCCCTCCTCCTCCTGCTCCCCCCCATTTACCCTCCGCATCCTCCTCCGATTCCTCGTCAAACCTTTTTTCCATCTTGGGGTACGACGACTTGCCCTGGGGTTACGACGTATTACTCAGCCGCTTATCCCACCGCATTATACTCCATATCCTTGATCGGAGCAATTCGTCTGGGCATCGTTTCTTCATTGGCTGGCGGGGGTATTTTTTACACGTCGCATCGCGGCAGTGGCAGTCTGCACGCGCGCTCGGGCGGGCCAGCCGACGGCAGGCGCAAATTGTCCGGCGGCAAGGGCGGGAGAACAAGAGAGAGGGGGCGGCCGCGGGACGGGCGAGAGGAGGGAGAGCGCTCACTTGGGAAGCCGCCGCGGGGCGGCCAGGGCGGCCAACCGGTGCTGCACCCCTGGCAGCGGGCGCGGGGTGACGTCGCGGCCGCACGCAGAGATGTTTTTTTGGTGCCCAGCGACCACACGCAGGGACTGGGGCAGAGGCTGCAGTGCACGCGGAGGGAATACAGCGCTAGGATGTGCGAGACCACGTCGACGATGCCCCAATCCAGCGGGCTGGGAGGCGATGGCGTCCTGGGCGGCAAAATGCAGCGGGAATGGCGCTGGGCGAGCTCAAGGGTGTGGGCAGCGTTTGCGGCGGGTCGGGGGGGGGGGGGGGGGCGGATCCCACTGGGGACCGCCCAGTGAGGAAGCCGCGCAGCAGTTGGCGGGGGTGCAGTAGCGCGTCCACCCAGCAATACCGCGACGGCGGGACCAGGAAAACCAGCGGTGGCCCGGAGCCCGTCGAGGGCGGCGCGGGGCAACCACGGAGCCCTGGGTGGCTGTCCAGTGAGCCGCCACTGGTGGGGCCACTTTTTGTTCGCAAGCGCGCCGGGATGCAGGGCGCCGTCAAGAAACGCGGCTGACTAGCAACGGCCTAATTCCGCGGCAGAAGGGGGGAACGAACACAAGCGGAAAAGAGGCGAACAACGCGGAGAAACTGGTGGGTTTACGCGACGCACTTCGAATAACACTAGCTCCCGATCGTGCAGACGCAAGGAACACCCGAGGAAACATGGGAGGCGGAAAACACCGACTGAAGCGTGTCCAGAGACGTCGAAGACACGCGACGCGCCACAGGCCACGGGCAGCCTATGCTGCGCGGCGGCGCGGAAGTGGAGGGAGGGAAGGGCGACGCAAGCAGACAACGACGAGCGCGAAAGCGGGAGGCCATGGGCCGGCGAAACTAGGCAACAAGAGAGGAAGGACGGAACGGCGTGCCTCCCCTTCTCCGCCCCGTTCCTCCACCTCCTCCTCCCTCTCCTCCTGCCTCCCGGGGAAGACTTTCGGAGGTCCGCGCGGCATTATTGGATCTGCGCTACCTCATTGTCGTCACCCCCATCACCATTACCATCATCACCACTATTTGCTACCCCCTGTCATCCCGTCCGCGGCACCAGCCCTCTCCACACGCCGCCGTCCCTTCTGCTGTCATCCTCCATCCTTCTGCACCCTCCGCCTCACTCGTCCGCCCACCTCCGCCATCATCCTCGGCCTCCTCCTTTGCGTCGGCCGCGCTCTGCCAGACTTTAGAAGGATGCCGTTCAAATTCAAGCTGCATCATATCATTGCCTGTCACGTCGCTACAGGTGGCTTCCTGTACAGACGTTCACTTGGATGGGAAATCAGAGGACTGACCACCCTGGACCATTCGTTGCACCCTCGGGGGGAGAGCCAGGGGGGGGCGCCAAATGCATGGGAGCTCGGGCAGGCGGAGAGGGGAGGAGGTCAGAGGAGCAGGTCACGGGAGGGGCCGAGCAGGCCTCGAACCAACAATTGTTTTTTTGTTCGTGTTCGGTTTGTTATCGTTCCCCTCCGTTCTGTCGTCGCTCTGTTCGTGCTGCGAAGGGAATCCGTTCGTTTCGTTGTTTGTTTGTGTTCGTTCTGCCTTCTGCTCCGTGCTGCCTTGTGCTCCGTGCTCGTTCTGCCTTCTGCTCCGTGCTGCTCGTGTTCTTGTTTGTTTGTTTTCGTTTCCCTCCGTTCTGTTCTCGCTCTGCTCGTGCTGCGGGAGGGCATCCGAGCGAGGACGGTCCTCACAGCATCGCCAAATCACAACGCGCAGCTCGAGCCCCGGGGCCGAGGAGGGGAGGGGGTGGCCGCAAGATGTGGCCCGCGGGCAGGAGCAGAGGGTCGCTCCTCCTCCTCCTCCTCCTCCTCCTCGTCCCTCCTCCTCCCCCTCCCCCTCCTCCTCCTCCTCCTCCTCCTCCTCTTTCCTCCTCCTCCTCCTTCCTCCTCCTCTCCTCCCTCCCTCCTCCTCCTCCTCCCCCTCCTTCCTCCTCCTACCCCCCCTCCTCCTCCTACCTCCTCCTCCTCCTCCTGCTCCACCTCCTCCTCCTCCTCCTACTCCTCCTCCTCCTACTCCTCCCCCTCCCCGTGCTCCTCGTTACGATCAAAGCAAGCCCCGTGGACGCCGGTGTCGAGGCTCTTCGAGTGGGGCTGGCCATCGAAAGGGGTCGAGAACGACCGAGTATGACCGAAGAGGCAAGAATGCAAGGGTACCCTTGGGAAGTCGATCGTCCTTACTACCAGCGTTTGCTGGAACCAGGGCGAAGATGTTGGCATGATGCAGTTGGGTCAGGATGCGAGAGTTCTGGAGTTTCTATGGCCCATCGGTCATGCGCCTGTTCCCGCGCGGGACAAGAACTTGGGGAGCGCGTCGTGTCTTCTCGCTGCTCTTATTCTATTCCTCCCCCACAATATCCCTGGCGAACGGCCCTGACCATGGGCTACCCTTTGACGCTCGCTCAGGCGACCAAGGGCATCAGACATGGGTTGCTGTGAAATTGATTCCCAGGGTATCAGCACCAGCGCCCGAGAACATCACTTACCCTGCCCTGGCGGGCCCCTGCCGCCCGAGGGGGGCCCCGCTCGAGCGGGAGACCCCTATCCGACACCACACTCACACTCACACACACACACACCACACACACATAACACACAAACACACACACACACACACACACACTCACACACACACACACACCTCACACACCTCACACACACACACACACACCTCACACACACAAACACACAAACACACACACGCACACCTCACACACACCTCACACACAAGCACACACACACACACACACCTCACACACAAACACACCCACACACACACCTCACAGACACACACACACACACACATCCACACACACACACACACACTCCCGTAAGCCCCCCCACCGGAACTCCAGCCCCAGGAAGCCTGGGGGCCGCACAGGGGAAGGGCAGTTGCCAGCCCCTGACGGATTTTCCACGCGATCGTGTCCGGGAGCCCGCCCTCGCAGGAGCAGCCCTGGGATCGACTGCGGCGGGCGCCTGGTGGGCCCTCGGCGCCGCCGCCCACCCCCGCGGCGCCCGCGGGCAGCGCTGCCGAAAGCGCGCCCGCGGCGAAGCTGCCGAAGGCGCCCGCGCGCCTGGGCCGTGCTTCGCGCCGGGGCCACGCCGGGGCCTGCGCCCCGGCGGGCTCGCCGGGCTGCTCGGGCCCAGCGCACGGCGCGCACCCGGCAGCGGCCGCGCAGTCCTCCCCAGTGGGGTCCGAACAGAGGCATCTGCGGTGCGGCGCGGTCCTCCGAAGCCATCCAGCGTGGGGAAGTCCAGGAAGTGCCGATTTTTGCTGCTCCCCGGACCTCTCCTGGGGTGCGCTCTGGCCGGATTTTCGAGGCGAGCCCGGCCGCGGCGACGGGGGCCTCCCTCGGGAGGCCCCAGAGGTGGGAACACGAGGGAAGGGCACCTGGCGATGCGGCGCGATTTGAGCAGGGACAGACCGTCCCGGCATTCCTATAGTCCTACCACGAAATGTTCTTAGAACCCAAAGATGTTCTAAGAACAAAAACAATGTTCTTAGAACATTAACCCGATTTGTTAAACCAAGACAGTCCCGGCCAGAAATGTTCTAAGAACAGTTCGTGCAGACCACAAAAGTTTCTTAGAACATTGTTTGGTGGGGCTATGGGCGAGCCAGGACGCTTCGCCACTGCTTGAGCGATCCTCCGACCTCATCTGCTGAGACCCGATTTGGGGAGCCCCGGAGGCCTGCGGGGCGGTCGGCCCAGCGGGGTCGGGCCGGGCGCCCGCGGGCGCCGCGCCCGCGGGCAGGCGGGCAGGCCGCCCGGGGGCGGCCTGCTGGGCGGGAGGCGGGTGGGCGGCCGCCGCGCGGAGGTCGAGGAACTGCAGCACCTGAGAGGCATGCGCGCGGACGAGGGGAGGAGGGGGAGGGGAGGGGAGGAGGAGGAGGCGGAGGAGGAGGCGGAGGAGGCGGAGGAGGAGGCGGAGGAGGGGGAGGAGAGGGGGAGGGGGAGGAGGAGGGGAGGGGAGGAGGAGGAGGAGGAGGAGGAGGAGGAGGAGGAGAAGGAGGAGGAGAAGGAGGAGGAGGAGGAGGAAGAGGAGGAGGAGGAGAAACTGCGCGGACGTGCGAGAATAGTTTGAAACAGGCTCCTCCCTCTGAGTGCCTCTCCTATTAGTGCACGTCCGTGCCCCAACTCACGCCCATGAGCGCATATGACCCATGCTTGCGGCAAGTCGCGTCGAATGGCGACCACTGATAAGCAGAAACCGGCGTTGGTAGCTGGGGCAGATAACAACTCATGCTTAAACTTAATTTCGCGTATGCCACATTTAAACTGTGGACGACATGGATACGGAGAAGATTTGCGAAGATGCCCCAAAACACATGTTGTTGCAGCGGCCGGCAGCGAGTCCTGTTCAAAAATGAACCAGGAATGTCTCCGTGACCATCTTCTCTGGACGCATTTCGATCGCACCGAGAGAGGACCCAAACATCCGGCGTCTAGATGTTTCGCGGCGCGGCCAACAGGGGAGAGTTCATCTTTCGACTCGCCTTGTGCGTCTTTAGCATTAGGTCGGGCGTGCCCCCCATACAGGCGGATTTTGAACGGAAATTCGTTGTTCAACGTGTGACGGGTGTGCCGAAACAGGCGCGACGCCCACATGCGAGCTGCACCTCGGAGACCGTCGGCGGAACTCCCTTTGGCCTATGCGGCCGCGAAACGTGTAAGGTGTGTGTGTGTGTGTGCCGAAACGGGCGCGACGCCAACATGCGAACTGCACCCCTGGGACCTTCGGTGAAGCTCCCTATGGGGCCACCAAACGTGTGAGGTGTGTGCCGAAACGGGCGCGACGCCCACATGAGAACTGAACTGCACCACTGGGACCTTCGGTGGAGCTCCCTATGGGGCCACCAAACGTGTGAGGTGTGTGCCGAAACGGGCGCGACGCCCACATGAGAACTGCACCACTGGGACCTTCGGTGGAGCTCCCTACGAGGCCACGAAACGTGTGAGGTGTGTGTGTGTGTGCCGAAACGGGCGCGACGCCCACATGCGAACTGCACCACTGAAACCCTGGAGCTCTATCCAGGGCCACGAAGCGTGTGAGTGTGCCGAAACAGAGACGATGCAGGGATGGGAGCAGGGAGGAGGGAGAGGAGCAGAAGGAAGGAACGCGGGGCGCTGTCTCTTCAAAACGTAGACCCACCAGCACAGGATGGTTGGGAAACATATGGTTTAAGAAGGCCAGAAATAGTCGAACAATCGTCCCCCATTTTTGAATACTCCTCCTGTAGAGGGGCGTGCCCGACTTAACCGTAGCAAGGAAACAATTCTGTTTGAGCCGCGCGGCGGTGATGGCTGCCGTCGAGTACACCCGCGGGGGCGGCGGGCTCTCTCCCCACGAGGGCTCGGGCCCCTTCCAATGGGGACTGACTTTTTGGTGACGGCCCCGCGTGGCCCAGCGAGGCCCCCGAAAGGCCGGAGATGGCAAAAGGCATGCTCCCGCCGTGCTTTTGTTCCTCCCCGACGCTGGGGGCGTTTTCGAGTTCGTGTTCTGCTTTTGAATGTTCGGCCGCCCGAAACGGGGGAACATAACATTCACCCCCAAACATGGAACATCGGCAATACAACACGGAGCCAAATCGAAAACGGCGCGAACGAGAATCCCAATATGGACAGGCAGCATTCCCCTAACTGACAAGTACGTCTATCCTGAACACGTAGGGAGACAATCAATTACATAAACATAAACTTTTGGAGGCACGCGCGGATTTCTCGCGTCGGCACTGAACCACGAGGGCGCCAGGGGCGGCGTCGAAGGCGCCCCCAGGGGGGATCCAGGCACGATCCGAGAAAGCCGCGCGGACCTCCGACACCTGATGCTCATGGCATTGCAAATCTCCCGAAAGTGGAACAGCAAAAAACACAACAATTATTTTGCCTCGAGCGATCCCCACCGAAACCTTAAGCGTGTGTTCCCGACAGCGCGCGGTCGCCTGATTGGTGGAACGCTGCGCGCGGGAATCGCCAATGCGGCCAATGCGGCGGTCGGGCCGGGTGGCGAAGTCCGTTTTCTAAATCCAACCTGACGAAGCAAATCGAAAGAAACCCCGAGGCGAAAAAACAAGCTTCGAAAACGTGCGGTGCGAAAGGATAAAGAGCCGCAGCCTGATGTGTCATGCCATGTCATGTTGTGTCATGTGGTGCTCTGTCGTGTTCGTCGTCGCCATATTCTGCTAGCCTGATGTGACCTGTTATGTGGTGCTGTAGCATGGTGTGATATGTTATGTCAAGGTGTGGCATGCAATGTTCAGCTATGTTGTGCTATGTTGTGATAGGTCGTCATATGTCATGTCATGTTATGCTCATGTGTGTTATGGAATGCTATGTTTGTTAACGGCGAGGCTCTGTTTAGTGTATTGTGATATGCTATGCTAGTATGTGTTGCTATGCCCTGCTGTCGTGTTATGATATGGTTTCTGATGATGTGACATGACATGAGATGGTATGGTAAAGTGTGGTGTGGCATGATCGGCTATGTTATGTTATGATGTGGCACATCGTCTTGCGTTATGTCATGCTCTGCTCTGGTTTGCCCTGTGTTGTTATGGTATGTTGTGCGGTGTCATGATAGCGCTGTGCTATAGTATGTCATGCTATGGTATGCTAGGTGTTATCATCTGTCATGTCCCGTGTCGTGTTCGTCGTCGCTATGCTCTGCTGTCGTGTTCGGATATATTATGCTATGCTGTGCCATGGTGTGAACTATTGTCAAGGTGTGTCATAGTATGTTCGGCTCAGTGATGCCATGTTGTGTGTATGATGTGTTCTGGTATGCAATGTTCTGCTCTTGTATGGTGACGTTATGGAATTATCAATGTTGTCATGCCATTGTCATGTTATGTGCTGATATGGTCTGTCATGCTCGTGTTATGTTATCTCGTGTTATGGTGTGCCATGGTGTGCTCTGTCGTGTTTGTCGTCGCTATGCTCTGCTGTCGTGCTATCATATGTTTTACGTTGCTGTGCCATTATCCGATATGTTATGTCAAGGTGTGTTAGGCTAGGCTCAGTTATGTTATGTAATGCTGTGCTATCTCGTCTTCTGTTATGTCATGATATGGTATGATATGGTATGTTATGTGATGTCATGGTGTGCTCTACGTGGTCATGATTTTGATATGTTATGTCATGTTCTGTCATGCTATGTTCCGTTCTGTCATGTTATGTTATTTCATGTTGTGCTGTGTCGTGTTCGTCGAGGGCGCGAGACGGGACACCCCGGGAAAACTTGGGGTCTGGCGGTCGCAGTATAGGATGGGGTTGGTCGGGCGCAAGGCGGGACACACGAGATTCTCGGGGACCTTCGGGATAACTTGGGATCTGGCGGCCGCGGTATGCAGGGTGGGGTTGGTCGGGCGCGAGGCGGGACACCCAGGATTCTCGTGGATCATCGGGACACCTTGGGGTCTGGCAACGCGGTATGCAGCGTGTGGTTGGCCGGGGGGGCTGTTCTGGAAATCTAACAACCCCAGCCTGTAGGGTGGGGAATAAAACGCACCCCCAGCGCTGTTGACTGGAAGGGCGCGACCGCTAAAAAGTACTAGAGGCCGCCTAAATGGGTCCGAAAACATGGGGTCGTAGGATTCCACCGCATCGCCGATGCATCGGCGACGTCGACGTGGATAACATCGGGCTCAGCATCGAGCCGCATCGCCGATGCATCCGCGATGCGGCGCAATCCTTCGACCCCGTCTCCTCTGGGAAACCCACCAACAGTAGCGACGAGGGCCTCCCAGGAGGAACAGAAACCGGAAAACGAAGAAAGGGTCGCAATGCGGCGCGATGCTCCGACCCCATCTGGAAGGCCTGGAGCTACGGCGGGTTCGTGTCGTGTCGACTCCAAAGTTGGTTTCTGACACCGCGGGGATTGTTCAACCTTGAACTGTCAGCCGTGTCCGACACTGTCAACTTCGACCAATTATGGGCAGCCGGCGGCGTTCATCTTTGAACGCCCGCGGCAGGGTCGCCGCTGGTCGACACGACACGCGAACCCGCCGTACCGCGGGCACCCCGACCAGTTACGGGACGTGAAAACGACCACAGCCACTGCTTGTCTTTTGTTGCCGCCTTCCAGCCAGCAGAAGCAAAGCAGTGGCTGTGGTCATTTTCGTTAAGCTTGGCCCCAGGGAAATGACCACAACCACTGCTTCTTTTTCGGCCGGCTGGAAGGCGGCGCAAACGAGAAGCTGTGGCTGTGGTCATTTTCCCGTCCCGCACCCGTGGCGTTGGCCTAGGCGTGGGGCGCGGGCCTGGGCCGCGGCGGGGCGGGGCGGTGGCCCGAGGCCCCCGCGGCGGCCCAGACCCGCCCCGAGGACAGGCGCCAGCTGCGCCGCGGGACGGCGGCGGGCCCCCACGGGGGGAGGCGAGCAAGGGAGCCTCGAGGGCGAGTCCTAAGGGGGCCACGTGCGAACCCTACCCCTACCCCCCACGATTTCTGGGGGGGAGGCTCGAGCGAAGTGAACCCCACCCTCCCCCTCAGACATCGTGGGGGGTGGGGGTAGGGTTCGCACGTGGCCCCCTAGCAAGGGAGCCTCGAGGGCGAGTCAGGAATGGTCGGCTCGCTGGGGTGGGCTCGGAGGCTGGCGCCGCCCGAGCCCACCGCCCGGGCACGGCGACGGCGATGGACGACCTGGCCTGGACGAGCCGACACGCCCTCGCGTGCTCCCCTCCCCCCCCCTCCCCGCGGACGTGGGCAGATGGTTCGAGTAGGGGATCGACTACAGAGTTGAAGTACCTCAGAATTGCGAATCTCGATGAAGCCAAGGGAGTTTTCGTTCTATGAGCACTACACGAACGCTGTTCTCGTGGGCGGGAAAACCAATTCTGGGGTAAATCGGTTATGTAGTCGATCCCCTACCCGAATGGTCCGGCGGCGAGCCCCCAGAGGGGGAGCTGAGAACGGGCGGGCCTTCTCAGTCGGAGATCGTCTGACCCGGGTCGATGCAGACGCGGGTCAGTCAAACCCTGCAGAATCCTGCAAGATCCTGCAAGATCCTGCACCCAAACCCGGGTCAGTGCGAATGATCCTGCAAGATCCCGCAAGATCCTGCGCCCAAATCCTGGTCAATGCGACCCTGGCCCTGCAGGATCCTGCAAGATCGGGCGCTCTGGCTGACCCCCGTTTGCATCGCCCGTCTCAAGGCTCCCGACTCAGGAAACTCGCAAGTCCCCCGGCCGTCTGATCAGTTTCCTGAGCCTCCCCCGCAGACGCGGGGCACCTCTCAGAAGGCGCGGGGGCGTCTGAGAAGTCCCGCCGCCTTCTGAAAAGGCCTTATCCTCTTCAATTGTACCACCCTCGCTCGCCTCAAACACTGGAGACCTGAAACCGGACACCAACACGAACACACCCTGACCCCTCGCGTCATGAAATTACTCGACGCGGGAAGCCCAATGTGTGCATATCATAGCTCCCGTCACGTATCGCTGAAGAACTCTGTCTGTGCGTGTATGGGTGTGAAGGCGAGCCCGCGTTGACGACAGGCGCGACAAAGACGACGACAGAGACGAGTTCAGTGACGTCCTCTTCTTCCTCCTCTGGGCATATTTCAGGAGAAACGAGGGAGACACAAGTGTAAGAGCAAAGGGTAAGTCCTCTTGCCAGTCTCGCTGCGGCCGTCGCGGTCAAGCGAGCTCGCTCGGACGTCCATTCCCTGTGTTTTTTTTCTTAGTTTCATGCGTGGCTTTTTCCCCAAATGATCAAGGATGCTCCTCGATGGTCCTCGCCGAAGGAAAAGTGCACACGTCCGAGCGATGCCATGGTCTGGGGTTAAGTCGGGCGTGTCCCTCTACAGGGGGAATATTCAAAAACAGTCAAAAAATAGTCAGGGGACTATTTTTCGAGTACTGTTTACCGTTTTGGAGTCCGCCGGCCCCCTTGTGGGGCCACCAGGCTGCGAGGCGCGTGATTCGCAGTTTCCTGTACCAGTTGTAGTTTGTAGTTTCCAGTGTTACAGTTCTCTTGCTGGTTACTGTAACTAGTTGACTTCTTGCTGGTTGCTGTAACTAAATGATTGACCGCGCGAGGGGGGGAGGCCCAAACGGGAGTTTTAGCGTCCCCTGGGCGCGTTGTCTGAATTGCTGGGGGGGCTCGAAATCGACACCCCTCACGCAGATCCGCGGGGTCAGGGTCCAAAAACATATGGGATTTGCCACATTTCTGAAATTCGGTGCCACCCCTCACGCAGATCCGCGGGGTCAGGGTCCAAAAACACTGGGGATTTGCCACATTTCTGAAATTCGGTGCCACCCCTCACGCACATCCGCGGGGTCAGGGTCCAAAAACATATGGGATTTGCCACATTTCTGAAATTCGGTGCCACCCCTCACGCAGATCCGCGGCGTCAGGGTCCAAAAACACAAGGATTTGCCACCTTTCTGACATTCGACGCCACCCCTTACGCAGATCCGCGGGGTCAGGGTCCAAAAACACAAGGAATTTGGCACATTTCTGAAATTCGGTGCCACCCTTCACGCACATCCATCGCAAGGCGTGGTAACCCAAACTGCGAGAACTCCCTCGGCCCTTTAATCGCAAGGTGTGGTAACCAAGCCCGTAAACCATACACGTCTTACCAATCGCCAGGTGTGGTAACCCCTCTTGTGATCAGTTGGTTTTGCTGATTGCGAATCGGCTTCGCATGAAGTTTCGATACTGCTTCACAACAGCGCCAAGGCCTCATGACTTAGCTCTTCCATGGCCCATTCTCCGAGAGAGGGGGCCGGCGGCAGGGGGCGAAGCCCTTACGGATATTTTTGCTAATATGTTTTATTTCTCGTCGAAGCTCCCCCCTGTAGAGGGGGACACGCCCGACTTCAGTCTGGGGATACGGCGGTCGAGACGCCCCCCCGGGGGCCTGCGGCGCCCCCCTCCCCCTGGCGGCGGGACCTCCTGGACGGTGCTCACGCGCGCCAGGGCGCCGTGGGCCGCGAGGAAGGGCAGCTCGCCCACGGCGGAGCCCGTGGCGAGCGCCCTGTGCAGCGACCTGGCGCCCGCGTCGGCGTCCTCTGGCAGGCTCGGGTCGGAAAGGTGCGCTTCGAAAAAAACACGGCGGCACATTTTTTGGGACACCCGGAGTGGGTACGGAAAGAAGGGGTACGATGCCCAACAGCAAATGTTGTCCCAAACCCACAGCGGCCGCCGTTGGGCAGGCGGCCTTCTGTTTCAAATGGACACAGGCCGCGGCGGCGCGGACAGCGAGTCCTATTCAAAATGAGCAGGAACTGCTGCTGGGCAGTGTACCCATCCTTTCCATACCCATTTCGTTCGTGCAGAAGCACGGCGGCAAGTTTTGGGCGATGGTCGGCCCCTCGGGGCCCTCGCCGGACCCCGGGACCGGCTACAAAGCGACCCAGGACGAGCTCGTCAAGGGGAAGGGGTCGAGGCGCCTGGGGGCCCACGTTGCGAAAGAACGTGGCGCTGGAGATCTGGGAAAGGCGGGCCCCGTGCGGCCGATGGCCATCTCGTGCGTGGCCGTGCGTGCTTGTGCGCGTGTGCGTGCCCGAAACCTCTGCGGCAGGATGACGCCAAGTATACGGCGGGTGTTTGCGTCGTGGCGACCTGTGCCGCGGCTTCTGGCACCGCGTGGATCCTTCCGCCCTGAAAGATCGCGGCTTCCCGATCGTGCAGAATCTCTCGACGTAGGCCGATTCTGGGCAGCCGGCAGCACTCAACCTCGAATGCCCCAGCGCTGAGATCTCCTCCGAGTCGAAGTCGCTCGATGTAGGCCGACTCTGGGCCACTGGCAGCGCTCAGCCTTGAATGCCTCAGCGCTGGTGTCGTCGCCGCGTCAAACCTTGCCATCGCTCGGACGTCCATGTCCCATGCATTTTTCGGTGTCGTGCGTGTTGTTGTTGCTGCTCGATGGTCCAGGATGATCCTCGATGGTTCTCGCCACGTCCGAGCGATGCCAAGAAACAGCGCTCCTGGCCCAGGCAGGCGCCGCCTGGCCCCGAGATCGGAGGGTGCGCCCCTGCCTCGACCAGGCCGGGAAGGTGTGCACATCGCTCCCGGGTCGGGGGGTGACCCATCCATAGACAGTGAAAGTGATGGTGTGTCTGCATGTGTGTATACTCGCTATCGCTCGGACGTCCAACCCCTGTGTTTTTTTGTGTCGTGCGTGTTTTTTTGTCCCAAGGTGAGCAAAATGCTCCCCGATGGTCCTCGCCGAGAAGAAATGCCCAAGTTCGAGCGATGCCAAGTATATCTGTTCATGTATTATCATACCCATCAGTAAGATCTCGCAATGCATTATTTCGCCGCCTCCTCCTGTCGTTCGTCGTCCCTGGACCCAGGACCTCGCCCTCTGGCCTCCTCCTGAAAGTTGGGGTCGTCAGATTCTAAGAGCAGACCTCCCGACCCGTCCATCCTGCATGCCGCGGCCGACAAATCAAAACATGGCAGACCGGTTATAGAAACAGCATACTACATTACAGCACAAAAGGAATGCCCGATCTGGAAGCCTGTGGGGCGCCCACCGTGGACTGGCCGTGGATATCGGGGAAGGCTGCTAAGAAGGAGGCTGCTTATTAGAAGAAGCTGGCCCCATCTAGAGATGCAAGGCCCGCGCTTTCTAAGAAGCAGCCCCCCCTCTAAGAAGCCTTCCCCCATCCCCCTTTATAGTGGAGGCCAGTCCACAAAAAACCTGCCACAAGAAACCCAACCCTGAGACCCAGGACGTCCGTTGCCTTTTGGTGTGGGAACGCCACGCTCTCAATCGCAAACCATCGAAACCGAAGAAAGCCAGGGCACCCCCTGAAGGCAAGCAGGGTGTTTCTTGGCATGGGCCTCCACTGTCCGCGCGGAGGTCTCGGATCGGCGCTGGACCCCCCTCCCTGGCGCGCGGAGCGCGCCAGGGGCGGCGCCGGAGGCGCCGCCAGGGGGCCCCAGCACCGATCCGAGAAATCCGCGCGGACCTCCGAGTTGTTATGCTTATGTCAGTGTTCGTTTCCCTATCTAAGGCCCGCGCCCCCTAAGAAGCAGCCCCCCCTGACGTTACGTGTGGGGCCGGGAGGGACCGCTCCTGAACAACGGTCGCCGTAGCTCTTCGAGTTGCGTGGTGTCCTCACATGCCTACGGATTGGGGACACAGCTTGGTTCTACCCCCCGCCCCCCCTTTAAGAAGCCTTTCCCATTCCCCTGTACCCCCTCTGTGCGTGGCCGGGTTCTGTTCATGTCGTTGTTGGTTCTCCCATCGGTCCCTCTGGGCCTCCGCGGCACCCGCCCGGGGGGACGTGGCGGGCACCGCCGCAGCCGGAACGCCGCGCCTCCATGCCTCGAGATTGCAGGCCCCGAAGTGCAACATCACCTCGGGGCTCTGCCAAAGCTGCAAGATCGAGGAACATAAAAAGGTGTCAACGCCGTGGGGAACCCACCCGCGTGTCACTGTTGAAAAAAGGACCAACCTTCGGACAAGAACGACAAACACAGCACGTCGACGGGCGTCGAAGCGGTAGCGTGTCATTGGCACTCTCGGACAGCAACGGATCGGCGAATCCCACCAGTCCTTCAGGGCGTGAGCGGTTTAGAGCATTTCCTCTTCCAACGCGCCCTCTTCCCCTTCGGGGAGGGGTTACTCATTGCTCACTATCAATATAACACCCCATCCCCCAGGTCACTGGCAGCAAACCAAGACCAATGCGGACCCGCCCGACATCCCTGTCCAAAAACAATGTAGAGTCCACTTTGGGGAAAACCTTGGGTCATGATCGGGGGGGGGGGGGCGCGAGCACTTCGTATTGTTTTTTACAGGGGCGGCGGAGGTGCCCGCGTATTGTCTGCTGCTCGTGGGGCCAACATCCCTGTCAAAAACAACACAACAACACGTCGAGGCAAAATCTGGATCATCAGCGGGCACCCCGCGAACACCGTGCATTGGTTTTTGACTGGGACGGTGAGGGTGCTGGCATTTTGCCTGCTGTGTGCAGGTCCACCAGACACTATGATGACCACCCCGCCGCGATTGTGCATTGGTCTTCGAAACGGGAAGTGGGGCCCGACACGTCTCCCGATGTGTACTGCCACGTGCGTGGGCGCATCTGGTACACTCTGTGCGTGCCCCGAAGGAGACGCACCTGGCGCATCTGGAGCACGCAGCACGCGTGAAGCGCGTGGATCACTTGGCGCATCTGGCGCACTAAGTGTACCTGGCCCTCTCAAGCAACAGCGGTGGTTGGCGCACCTGGCGCGCCTGGCACGTGTGGCGCACATCGCCCCAGCGTTGCGCCCATGGGGTCTGTTTTGAATGCCACTAGCTGCCCATCCAAAGACGACTGCTGAACATGCTGCGGCTTGGGTGCTACTTCTGAGTTGGGAGTGCGGGTGGGAGTGAGCGAGACGACTTGCGGGCGGAGAGGGTGTCTTGACCCCTCCCTCTACCCTCTACCTCGGACCTGGAGGGGGGATGTCGCGGATCGTTGGAGCGTCCAAGGTCGCCTCGGCGAGAAGGCAACAATCATTGATGTTACTAAGAAAGGTTTCGACACGTTCCGGCCTCCCTGGGGTGGTGCAAAGTCCGGTCCGTCCTTTGGTCGATCTCTACCAAGGTGGCCCCATAATGGCACCCGAGGCTCCCAAGGTTGGCCCGAGACGGTCCCAAGAGGTGCCCAGAAGGCCGCAAGAGGCCCTCAAGATGCCCCCAAGATGCCTCCAAGAGGCTCCACCTAACCCCCAGGAGGCCCCCAGAGGCCCTCCAAAGGCACCCAAAACGCCCCACGAAGCCTCGGCGAGAAGTCCAGCATCATTTAACTTACCAAGCTGTTGGCCACAATTTGGACTCTTCGGGGGGGAGAAAGGTTCAGATTCCAACCGGACGGTTCAAAACCCAACTAGACGATTCAGACCCAGGCGGTAAGAACACAGGAACGGTTCAGATCCCAACCAAGCTTATGTGAGCTTCAGGCGCTTGATAGGCGATTACTAAGCGCTTGAAAGGCCTTGGTACGCGCTTGATGGGCGAAGGCGCCTCTTCGGCTTCGTGAACAATTCCTGTGGTCTCCACTTGAGCGCCCAGAAGGATCCCCGAGGATTCCTCAGCTATTCCTGGAAAGCGCCTCAGGAACCCAGCGCGTTCCTGAGGAATCCTAGGGACGCCCCCAAAGGCACTTTTTTGTAGGACTCGCCTCCCATAAAATTCATGTGCCCGCGAGTTCCTTGCCCTGCGGCGGCCCAGTATACGCATGCCCTTCCAGGCCCGCGCTCGCTCGCGCCCGTCGTGTCCCCGTGCGCATGCCCTCCGTGGCCCACTGTCTCTCTCTCTGGCCCCCCTCGCTGTCCAGCGTGGCCCCGTTGCTACCCTCAGCGGCCCCGTCGTTGTCCTCTGTGTCCCCGCAAAGTCTGCTGATCGTGGCCTGGCCCCCGCTCGTTCGCGCCCTTCGTGGCCTCATGCGCATGCCCTTCGGCCACGCTCTCGCTCTCGCTCTCGCTCTTGCTTTCGCTCGTCGTCGTCGTCGTCGTCGCCGTCGTTGTCGTCGTCGTCGTCGTCGTCGTCGTCGTCGTCGTCGACGTCGTCGCGGTCGGTCCCCTGTCCGTGCCTTTTGGCGTCGGGTTGCCGCCGATCGGCGCTGCCGCTGGCCATGCCGACGGTCCGCGGCCGCCCCGCCGGTTGCCGGGGCCCGGCCTGCAGGGAAGAAAGATATACGCCCCACAAGGGGTGCGATCGAAGATTAACAAGGCGGGTACCGAGGGTATGGGAAATACAGATGAATGACAGTCGGGCAGGTAAGAGCGAACAGTCTTGAACTGAGTGTTGTTGTTGTTGTTGTTGTTGTTGTTGTTGCTCTTGTTGGTGTTATTGTTTTTGCTGTTGTTGGTGTTGTTGGTGTTGTTATTGGTATTGTTGTTGCTGAAATTGTTGCTCTTTGGCGTCGTCCCCCCCACGACCCTCCCGCGACCCACCCGCGACCCACCCCGCGACCCACCCGCGACCCACCCACAATCCATCCGCGACCCACCCACGACCCACCCCGCGACCCCCCCGCGACCCACCCGCGACCTACCCCGCGACCCGCCCGCGACCCACCCCGCGACCCACCCCGCGACCCACCCGCGACCCACCCGCGACCAGCACCGCGACCCACCCGCGACCCAAATCGGCGCCTGCGGCGAGCTCGGTGTGCCGCTTGTGGAAAGTTTGCGCCTGCGGCGGGCTTCTTCAGAGCCTCGCAGACTGCCGACGTCGCTGCGGCCCCCTCTCTGATCCGCATCTGCGGGGTGCTACGTAGCATGGCTATTCACATGGAGAATGAAGTCTGATGCAAGCTGGAGGGTTATCAAACTATCTCTCCAAGACAACCGATATGGCCCAACATTGCCTCCAATATGCTTCAAAGACAGAATAGACGGCCCCAGGAAAGCCCCACATAGCCCCGGGATAGCATCCAAGATGGCCAAGACTGATGGCCCCAAGAAAGCCTAGGATAGCCCCCAGATGGCCTCCAAGACGGTCCCAAGATGCCCCAAAAATGGTCCACGAGAGCCCAAGACGACCCAAGAAGCGCCGCAAGGCTCCCGACCGAAGAGGCCTTCCAGAGGTCCTCGAAAGGCACGAAGAGCCTAACACAGTGATTTGCCTGTGGTTATTGAAGGCGTTGGCATCTGTTGCAAAACTTCCTCCGGACAGCCCAAAACAGCGCAAGAAGCCCCCAGTATTGAAAATCATTCGACAACCTACGGACCATCACTGAATTGGGCCTCATTGAGCCTTCCTGGAGGACCTCTTTCATGGAGGCCCCTGAAACGTCACAAAAGGCCTTTCAGAGGTCCTCCAGAAGGCCCGAAGCGGCCAACACCATTTATGTTCCTAAGGTGTTTGATTTGTTTGGCAGTTGCTTCACAACGACCTTCCGACAGCCCAAGACGGCCCAAGAGACCCCAAATATTTCCCCGAATCGCCCAAAAATCATTAGATCTGGGCACACGGCTGCCATCCCCCTCACACTCACCCGAATGTACTCTTCCGACGCACGGATCACACGCCAAGCGCGCTTTCCGTGATCTGCGGTTCGGGCTGCCAACCCCCTCACACTGCCCTTGTTTTCGTGTTCGGACTAACGGATCGCACTCGAAGCGCACGCTCCGAAATATGCCGCCCCCTACTGGCTTCTCACAGGGGTGTACGGCGTGCTAGATGTAGGGTTTTTTTGGGGGTGTGTTTTTTAAACACTCCCAGTGAGGTCTCGACCCAACCAGCCCTCTCTCCTCCTCCTCCTCCTCCTCCTCCTCCTCCTCCTCCTCTTCTTCCACCTCCTCCTCCTCCTCCTCATGCTCCTCCGATTCCTCCTCCATCCTCCCCCTCGTTGGGTACGACGTCTTACCGAGCCCGCTATTCCACTGCACGGTCCTCCACATCCCTGGCAAGGACAACGAATATGGGCATCGTTTCTGGATGGGCTGATGGGGCTACGCGAAGAGCTTAGAAGTACATCGAAACCTCAAGAAACGTCGGATCGTGCCACATCGGCACAGTGATGGGATCGAGTGGGATTGGCCGCGTCAGAGTGCACAGCAGCGCCGTGCAAGCGTCGGCCCGCATCGGATCGTCGGAGTAAGGCGAAGACAGGATGACAATAAGTCTGGATAGTTTACACACAGCGGAAACGGTGAGAGCTGGATGTATCGGGTGCTGCACCCGTCCCAGAGCGCTCCGAACTGCCTCGGGAGCGTTCTGGAATGGTCTGGCACGTTTTATCCTCGGTCTAAGCCTGCCTGGCGGAAGCAAATCCTGGGAGGTCTTCGTGGGAACCATTGAGGGCTACGAAGCCCGATCACTAGGCCGCTGCCCGGACTGGGTCACGCCCGACTCAGTCACATTGCACAGGACTGCACCGAATTCAACATACCAGCGCCGATGCTGAACTCAACCTCCTCGCAGTTGCAACCGAGCAAGGGTGTCGCTGGTGCAAGGTGTCCCCAAGACTCCCTGGGATGCACTGACTGCCCCGCGTTTTTGAAGGGGCCAGGGGAAACACAAATAGATAAACACACAAATCCCAGGATTCCCCTGATTGCCTGGATGTTCGTAGTCCCCTCCACCTCCTATATTTGTCCATACTTTCGTAGGGATCGCCGATCAATTGCGTTTGTGGTTTCCCCCCCTGCTCTTGCGCCCTGGAGGGGAGGGGCCCGCGCCCCTGCGAGCAAGGGGGGGAGAAGGGGAAGGGGCGAAATATCCCCCCAGGAAGGCAAATTGAGTTATCCCAGAATTGATCTGTTCGTCGAATCTGCTGGAAAGACGTAAGGTTTTCGTACATCTGCGAGCATGCTACGAATTGTAACTGCAGGTTCGACGAGAATACTCGAAAACTTGTGGAGCTTGTGGCCGTGGAGGGAGAGGGTTGCCTCAAGGACGTCCCTTACGAGGCTCCGGAGGGCCCCGGGGGGGCTCCGGCCCAGCGCGAGGAAGAGGAGGACCAGGAGGAAGAGGAGGACGAGGATTGCCTCAGAAGCACCATTACGAGGCCTGGATCCACAGACACAAATCCGAGGATCTCCCATATGTTCAACATGTTCTGGATGATCGTCTTCCCCTCCACTTCCCATATTTCCTATTTTCTACAAATCGACGATCATTTGTGTCTGTGTGTTTATTTTCCCTTACGACTGGAGGGCCGAGGGGGGGTCTCCAAACAGGCGCGATAGAGCTGAGGACACCTCGGGCCAGGAACATGGAAGTCCCAAAGCGGTGCGGTGAGAGACCGTGACACGACCTGGAAATCCTGAAGAACCTCACCAGACGGTCCGTCACCGCACGGCTCTGAGACCGAGCCCCCCGTCGCCCGAGACACCCTCGAAGAGGGTCCCAGAACTGTACGTTCACAACGGCTCCCCACTGTGCGGGGCAACGGAGGGGGGGGACTGGCTCGGGGGGGTAGACGTAGACCTGGACTCGGCGATACACCGCCGAAGGATCGGCGATAGGCCTCCGACAGCGAAACCGCCACGTTCCTTGCTCCCTGGCGGGGTGGGCTACCAGGCCCCTGTCGGCGATGCGTGGGCGATTGAGGACCGCTGCGCTCTTGCGGCGCGCCCAAGAGGTCAGGGGGAGGGGGATAGGCTCTCAGACAGAAGCTGTTTCTCAGAGGGCGCCGGCCTCATCTAGAGATGGCGGTGGTGCTTCTCGGAAGCCTTCCCCCCCTCCCCCCTACTATACCCCCCCTGCCTATCCCCTGACGATGCCTCTGACCTTCTGCTCCCCAACTGCCGATGGGCTATGCTTCCGGCCTCTGGCGGCCGGCGGGAGCGCCCTCGCCGAGGCGCAACCGACGGAAACCGCCCGGGGCTTCGACGCCCAGAGGCTCCCGAAAAGACGCTGCCGAGAGCGCCCCTTTGTGAGCCCACGCCCCGGCCCCGCGACGCTGCCTCGGACACCGCCTCGCCCCGCCGCCGTGGCCACTTGGAAGCGGCCAGGGGATCTGCACTGGACAGGCCTCCAGAAGTTCGATCGAGAGGGGGGACGAGGCCAAACCCTCGCAACGTCCATCTCCAGACCCCTCCCGGGGTCGACCCCGACAACTTTCTCGAGCCTCGCCCAGCCGTGGCGACGACCCTGACAACCCTCTCGAGCCTCGTCCAGTCGTGGAGGCGAGAGGCCCCGCTGCTCACACCTCAGCCTCGCAGCTGGCCCAATGGTCGTCACCGCACGATTCCCCAAAGATCCGATGCACTGCTATTTTCACAACGGGGCCCGTAGAAATCCAAACCCTTTCCAAAGGCCGGCCTATGGGTACGGAAAATATGGGTACGATGCCCAACAACAAATGTTAACCAAAAACGACAGCGGCCGCCGTTGGGCGGGCGGCCTTCTGTCTCGAATGGACAACGCCAGCGGCGACGCCGACAGCGAGCCCTGTCCAAAATGAACAAGAATTGCTGCCGGTCTTTGTACCGATTATTTCCGCACAGTCGGGCCACTGATAGAAGGGACGATCAATATGGAACGACGCCCCTTTTTGGCGCCAGGCCAGTAGCGCCTGCGTGCACGAGGAGTGCTAGAGGAACAACCACGGAAGGACGCAAGGAACATCGAGCCCTTTCTGAACATCCTCAGTTGAACTTCTTGGCTGTAGCCCTAGACTCTGGAGAATAATATCCATGGGGTTATAACATTAAGCGTCTCGGGGGGGGGAAATAAACGATTTGTCCCGGCAAGTCGCACTAGGGATGTGTGGCGAGGAAGGAGGAGGTCGTCGTCGTCGTCGTCGTGACAGGAGCAGGAGCAGGAGCAGGGGGAGCAGCAGCAGCGTTACTTTGTTGGAAAAGATGAAGTGGTGAGAATCTCATGGCATTGCCACACGCTCTTGACTCGCGAAGAGCTGAGAAAGCCACACGTTCGTGCCTTCTTGGTAAAGCAGACATGGTTGGAAGCCCATAACCCTCGCACACGTTCGTGACTTGCGAAAGCTGGCACGGTGAGAATCCCACTACTATGCCAGAACTGTTTGATGATGCTGCTACTCAACATAAGAAGTTGGCAACCTCGATTCGCAACTTCCCCTCACGATAATAAAAAAACAAGTTCGGCCTTGCCGCCTCTCTCCCTCGACCAACTCTGCCTTGGCCGGGGAGCATCAACTCTCGCGGGGGAAAGGGAGGGGTAGGATTGACTATCTGGGGCTCGCGGTTACCCCTCTCGCCATCGCTCGGACGTCCATTTCCTGAGTTTTTTTCGGTTTCGTGCGTGGTTTTTTCGCCAAATGATCAGGGATGCTCCTCGATGGCCCTCGCCGAAGGAAAAATGCACACGTCCGAGCGATGCCAAGCCCTTTCGATCGCCCCGATCCGACATCGCGCCCCCCCCCCGCCATTCACCGGCGACGCGGCGCCCGAGCACACGAGGGTGGTGAGCGGCGGCCCGTCCTGCCGGGGGCGGGCGCCGGGGCAGCGCGGGGCGCAGGGAGGCGGCAGGGGGCGGAGGGAAGGCCGAGGGGGGGGGGCGAGGGCGGCGCAGGGGCGAACGAGGAGGGCGAAGACGGGCGAGGGCGAGGGTGATGGTGAGGGCGACGGCACAATGAGGACGACGAAGACGAGGACGACGGCACCGAGGACAGGGAGGACGCGACGGCGCCGAAGACGGCGAGGATGAGAGCGAGCACGTGGATGAGGACGACTGCGCCGGGGACGAAGACGAGGACGAGGGCGACTGCGCCGAGGACGAGGACGACGAGGACAACAAGGACGAGGACGACAACGGCAACGGCGACGGCGACGCTGACGATGACGACGACGGCGCCGAGGACGACGCCGACGACGAGAGGGCGCGGAGGAGGCGTGCCCCGGTCCCGTCGCTGAGGACGAAGGGCCCCGAGGGGAGGCCGTCCCGGACCCTGGGGTGGTCCCCCGGGGAGGCCGCCTCTTTTCCGTCCGCCTCCCGAGGCGTGCTGTGGACGCCCAGGGAGGGCCCCCCGTGGGACCGGAAACGACGTCGTCGTCGACGTCGTCCTCGTCTTCGTCCTCGCCGTCGGTCGTAGCTTTCCGACGGCCCTGGGGCCCAGGGCCCAGGGACTGTCCCTCGTGGCCCGTTTCCCGCATGGCGGAGCCTGGCCATCGCTCGGACGTCCATTCCCTGTGTTTTTTCGGTTTCGTGCTTGCGTTTTTCCGCCAAATGATCAAGGATGCTCCTCGACGGTCCCCGCCGAAGGAAAAATACACACGTCCCAGCGATGCCAAGGCTGAGCTCGGCGGCGCGCCTGGGGGGGACGTGAGAGGGGGCGGGCCTTCTCCAGAGGGCTCGGCAGTCCCCCGGCCTTCCGAGAAGCTTGCGGAGCCTCCGCCGAGGCCGCGGGGAACTCCTCAGAAGACCGGAGGGCTCTGCTGAGACGCCCCGCCGCCCTCTGAGAAGGCATTCTCCTTCTCTCTTCCCCCCCCCCGCTCGCCGCCGCTTCCTGCATGGCGAAGAGAATCAGGAGGGAAAAAAAACACAGGCACAATTCATCGTCGATTCCCTAGAAAATATGGGAAAATATGGGAAGTGGAGGGGAAGACAAAAACCCAGAAAATATGGGAAAATATGGGGAATCGTTTTATTTGTGTGTATTTGTTTGTGCTCTTGGGCCCCTTGGGAGAAGGTCGTGACAGCACTGCGCGCCCCCTTCTTGGGAGCGCGCGCCCAGCCGGACCGCGCAGCTCAGCACTGCTTGTTGCCAGCGCGGCGCGCCCTCGAAGCCTGCGCCGCGGTGCTTCTGCTGCACGGTTGCGTCGCCAGAATATGTCCATATCCACTGCCGCGGGGTCGTACTCCAAGGAACCGAGGAGCGATGGATATGGATATCTGGCCGCCCATGCGGGCGGGCAGATACTCATATCCACCACTCCTCGAGATCCCAGGGCACGACTCCGCAGCGGTGGACATGGATATGCTCTGGCGGTGGAACGGTGCTGCAGTGCCCGCGTCGGCCCTACAGGGCCCGACGCGAACGTGCAGCAAGAGCGTGTCTGGGCGTTGCCGACCGAAGGCCTCGCTGAAGATGCTATACCGAAAGTCGTTCCGCAACGTCTGCTACATCTCCTGCCACGGATGTCCCCCGCAGCATCCTGCGGCAACTCCCGATGCAGATCGTGCTGGAGCTCGCACGGCAGCTCGCAGAAATGGCACAGCCCGTGCTGCAGCCCCTACGGCAGATCCTGAGACAGTTTGTGGTAACAGCCGGCACTACAGTTTGCACTGCAGCTCCCGATGCAGCTCGACTTCAACTCCCAGTGCAGCCCGTACTGCAACTCGTACCGCGGCTTCCTCCTGTAGCCCAAACTACAGCTCATGCTGCAGCCCCTCGTGCTGGCCGTGCCACCAATCACCCTTACTGGAAGCTGCACCTCCTAACGCCACAACCCTTTCAACTCTGGCTTCCCCGGGAGACGGACGGAACATGAGAGAGGGGGGAGGCGGAGGAAGAGGAGCGGAAGAAAGAGGAGGACGGGGATGATAGGGGAGGGGGAGAAGGAGAATACCCACTTCGAGGAAGGGGAGGGGATGGTGGACGAGAAATACGGGGAACCTGAGGAGAACGGGGAGGATTGCAGCGAGAAAGAGAGGGAGGAGTGAGGTGAGGAGGTGCACGGCGAAGAAAATGACGAAGTCAATCGCCACCATCTCCATCCTATGCCAGAGTAAAGTCACGTGCACTGCGTACTCACTCCTGCTCATCAGATTATCACTGATTGGACAACGAGCTGAAAGCCAAAAGAATCTGGAGCGGCGAGCCTGATCACACAGGGTGCGTGCCTAGAGGCTGTGGCCTCGAGGCGACACGGTGGCACCCTCAGCAACCACTACTGTCCGTGACGCAGGAGAATAGCGCGGTGGGCATTCCCGAATCGAAACCAGCGGGCAGTCGAGAAGCCCAACAGCAGGGTGTGATACTGAAGGGGCCCTGGGACACACAAATACATACACAGAAATAACAGGATTGAACATATTTTTCTATATTTTCTGGGTTTTCGTCTTCCCCCCCCCCCCCACAGCATATTGTCCTATATTTTCTATGGAATCGATGAATAATTGTGTCTGTGTGTGTGTGTGTTTTTGTTCCCCCCTAAGATGCACGAAGCATGGGCCCACATGAGGCCCACGAGACGTGAGAGGGCCGACATGCGCCGACGAGGGACGGAGCAAGACAGGGTCGCTGGCCAGTGCTCCGGGGATGGACAGAGCCCCCTTGAGTTATGCTGCTCTCATCGTAATGAAGGACCACATCCCAGAAATAATTTAGAGCACCCAGAAACGTGTCGAAATAGCGTCGAAAGAGTGTCGGACGAGAGTCTCCCAAGGCCCGACACGTGAAACACTTAGAGCTTTTGGGTACATCTCTGGTGCTCGAACTTATTTTCTGGTGATCAAGGCTAAAGTAGGCTGGAACATCATAACCCTTGAACACAACGTGCCCAAACCTGGCGTGCGCAAACACGGAAAATTACGGCCGCGGCGGCCTCTCGAGAACCGAAAACGGACAGTTCACGAATCGACGTGCCAGGGTGGGAGTTCTGTCCACCCCCGACTCCTCCGAGGTCGGAGGAATGAAACATGAAACCTTACAGGATCCACCAGCCCCCGTGTGGTGCCACCAAGCTCCGCGGATTAGGCGTGCTGCTCCCGGCGCCAATTCCAGTTTCCAGTCTCCAATGCTATACAGTAAAGGGCTCGACCACCAGAAATCTTCCGCAAGAAACCCAACCCTGAGATCCCAGGACGTCAATTGATTTTTGGTGTGGGAGCGTCACGCTTTAAATAATAAGCACAACGAAGCCAAAGAAACCTAGGGCTCCCTGGAGGCAAGCAGGGTGTTTCTTGGTATGGGTCTCCACTGCAGTCCTGCTTCCTGCTTCCGACTGTGAATTATTGAAGTCCGCGCGAGGGGTGGGAGCCGAAAAGGGCCCTGGTTACCACTGGCTGGGGGGGTTCTCAAACTTCCTGGGGGGCCCTGGGACACGAAAAAATGTATGCGTTCCACGCTCCCGAAACCACAATCCCGCATAACTTACAACATGTTCGCGCCCCCGAGACCACGATCCTGCGTAACTTACACACGATTCGCGTCCCCGACGCCGTGCATCCTCGCAAATCACTGTGTTCGCGATCCGTCGACCGTAGTTCTTCGCTAATTATACAATGTTTGCGTCTGCGAGGCGATACTTTCTAATAAATTACGCGAGACTTGCGCCCCCAGAGCCACGACCCCTTGTAAATTACACGTTCTTCGCGTCCCCCATCCCATAAACCATAATAGAGTACGCAGTGTCCGCGCCTTCGAGACGGCCTCCGAGACGGCCCAAGACTCAGTGGGCCCTGGAAACGACAGGGCTGTTTTGTTACCAATTTGGTTTTGTTGCCGGTTCCGTCGCCATTGTTTTTTTCCGGTTACGTCGCCATTTTTGTTTTTGGCTCCGGTTCCAATCCCAGAGCCGTTGTTTTGCCGTTTTCAATGGCCTTGTTTTACCATTTCCACTTTCAAGAGACATGTTCGAAAACTAGTTAAAAACGGCCTTGCCGCCTCTAGGACGGCGTCCAAGATGATACCCAAGACGCCCCAAGAGGCATTCAAGAGGCCCCCAAGAGCGCTCCAAGAGCACCCCCAAGAGGGGCACAAGACGACATCTGCGATGTTCCTTAGGTTTTTGTATGGACTCTGGCACGCTCATATCTCCAGTGGCCCCCGTTCGGTGTTCCGACGCTGCTTCACGACGGCGCCGAGGCCTCGCAACATGGCTCTCACTCATCCCAGTCTCCGAGAGAGGGGGCCGGCGGCAGGGGACGAAACGTGCCGCACCAAACCCTCCCTCAACGATTCCGACAGACAGGCTTGGCAAAGCCGCATTTGCAAAGATGCCTGTATAAAATAGGAGTAGTCCCTTCCTGGCAGAGAGACAATCGCGCGTGTGCGAGGAGGAAGAGCATCAGGACGGTGCAGGGGATGAATAAGTAGCACCCCGCAGATGCGGTGGGGCGGTGGGGACGTCGGCAGTCTGCGAGACTGCGGCGGTAAGGGGGGTCACTTTTATGCCTAATCGAAATAGCCGAGGGAAGAGCAATCCATGTGTCCCTAGACGAGCGCGTTTCACTACTCGCAAAGTAACTGCTCGCAAATGACCTCGATCCGCCGCGGGGGATCCATGACAAATCGCATGGATGCAGACATGTATTTTTCTGACGTTTGCGAGTAGGCACTTTGCGAGTAGTGGAACGCGCTCGGTGAATCCTGGGACGCTCGTGTTTTCGGCGAGGCTCCCAGAAGGATGCGTGTAATGCCCGCCCCTGGGCTATTTGCCCCTACCGTCGCCACCGATACTTTTTCGGTACGCGGCCCGGAAGACCCGACCCGGTCCCTAGTACAATCAAGCCGTATCATAATAATGGCGCACGATAAGGATGCAAAGGCCTTGGCCAGCGAACGCGGCCTGGGATGGACCAACGGGGAAGGATGCAAGGGTAACATTGGAAAGTTGCTCATCCTTACTATGCGGGTTGACTCCACGCGGTCCACGAGATCCTGACCTGGTCCCCTGTGCCTGTCTTTCATCCTTTACGCTTTGTGACGGTCCCGGAGCCTGGAGGGCCCCCCAGAGGCCGAAGACAAGGAAGAACCTCTCGTCCTGACGTTTTCTACGATGCGAGCGTGTCTGGGGCGGCACCAGCCAATCGACGGCGGCGCAGACGACAGCGGCAGCAGAAGCCGCAGCGGCGCATTCAGGTCTTGGCGGCGCACACAAGGGGGGCAGGGGAGGGGGGATGGTTTCTCAACAGGAGGCTGCTTCTCAGAAGGCGGGGGCCGAACATCTGTAGATAAGGCCCGCGACTTCCGAGAACCAGCTTCCTTCTAGGAAGCCTTCCCATCTTCCCTGGTCACCCTCTGCACGCCGAGGCAGGTTCGATACTGCTACTCCCCCGACTTCTCCCAGGGTGTGTTCTGACCCGAATTTCGAGGCGAATCAAGCGGTGAAGACGAGGGCCCCAGGAGGCACAGAAAACCAAATGAGTGAAGGGTAGTTCGGTACCTCTTCCTCCTCCGAACTCAGCGGCGGCGGCCAGTCGACCGCGGCGCAGGCGGCAGCGGCAGCAGAAGCCGCAGCGGCGCAGGCGGGTCCTCGGCGGCGACGAAGCAGTGCGCCCCGCGCCCGGGCAGCGGCAGCGGCGCGCCCCCGCGGCTCGCGCGGCAGGCGGAGCGCCCCAGCCCACCGCCGGGGGGCCAGCCAGCTGGCCTGACGCCGACGCCGGGGTCCTTCGCCGGAGCCCGTTTCTGTATCGGCTGCGCGGAGGTGTGCCCCTGGGTAGGGGCGCCGAATTTCGCGCTTAGAGCTCAGCGCTCTCGCGCAGCCCCCCAAGGGAGGAGAGGAGGATGTGAAGAGGAATCGGGGCCGAACCGCGATGCGCGAAAGACTTCGCGCCCTCGATTGCGCCATTGCCTAGGCAAGAACGACCTCTGGTGCGCGGCCTGGGAGGCCAACCCCAAGCACCCCAAGCGAGCGGGCCATGGCTGGCGGGGCCATGTGGGCCCGTTTTTCGCTGGCGGCGCGCACAAGAGGGTGGGGGGGAAGGCTTCTTCGAACTATATATATATATATATATATGTATGTATGTATGTATGTATGTATGTATGTATGTATGTATGTATGTATATACACATATATAGTGTTTTGTTTTTTCTTTGTTTTTTAACGCCGCCGGCTTTACATCTACACACAAGGCTCGCGCCTTCTGAAAAGCAGGGGTGTTTCTAAAAAACCTTCCCCCCTACCCCCCCTTACCCCCTCTGCGCGTGGTTTCTGCGCCACGACGAGGGCAAATTCGGGTGAGCATACATCAAGAATCTCTGAGATCAGGCGTCTGTGGAGGATGTCTCGGGCGCCGCGGCCTTCTCAGAGCGCTCCCGAATACGAAGAACACCTGCGCCTACGCTGGGACCTTTCCTTGACCTCCCCAAAGATCCTTGGGCGGGCGGTATGGAGGGTGACCTACATGGAAAGTGAAGACAAAGGCCCTAGAAGGGTTCATTAGGGCCCCAGCTGTGTCCAGAAGGGGCCCTAGAGGGCCCCATTTGGGGGCTTTGTATTCACCCCTCCAGTTCAATCGCCCCCATTTCCATCCGCTCGGGATCCGACGCCAAGGGTCATGCGCCAGAGCCCGTTCTTCTAAGACGCAGGCGGATTCGAGACAACATCGAGCCGACCTAAACTGAAAATCTCTGAGACTCGGCGGGTTTGGAAAATGTTTCCGGCGCTGTGGCCGTTTCAGTGCGTTCCGGAACGCTCCGGAACGAAGTTGCCTTGATTCCAGGCCCACCCGCCCTCGCCTCCCCAGTCCCGAGGCCCCGAAAAATTGTAGCGGCTGGTGTTTGGGAAGTTTCAATATCCAAAGGCCCTCGCCGGGTTCTTAGACCTGCGACCGTCAAAAAAAACTCAGGACGAGAAGAAAAACGGCCCTAGGGGCGTGGTCCAACAGGGAGGAAAAGGATCTGAAAAGGGCCGACACACACCACCACCAACACCACCCCTTGCCAGAGCCATCCTGGGCCCATGGGCGAGCATACGTCACCGCCACCCCTGGCCAGAGCCATCCTGGGCGCATGGCCAAGTGCGCAAGCGGTTTCCCAACTCCTGCGGCGTCTCGTCATCGGGCGCCCTCGGCATCGCTCCTCTTAAACGAAAATTATTTGCCACCGCTGCGGCGAAGTCCTCCTCCACGTCCTTCGCCCGCGCCCGGATCTGGCCCCTGTCGAGCAGCTCCCGCTTTCTCGCGAAACGCGCGAGCAACGCTAGAGCGCGGTCCCCCCCCCCGGTCGTGGACGCGTCGTCCAGCCTTCCCCCTCGCGGCCGCGGCCTTCACATAGACGGCGCGTGTGAGGTCTGCCATGGCCAGACGACCTCCTCCTCGCAACTGTTGCGCGCGCCCGCGAATGCCTCCCTGCGCTGTCGGGTTTACTCGCTCGACGTCGTCCATGATCATCACGTCTGTGCCTTTGCCGTCGTTGTGGATGCCTCTCCCTGCGCTGGCGACGTCCTCGCTGCGCCCACCTCGGTCGTGGCGCGTCGGCGCGTCCTTCCGCACCTGCTCGATGTCCATCGTCGCCGGGCCGACGCGTCCTCTCGGGCTGGTAGCCTTCGCCCCATTTCCTCACGCACTCGTCCTCGCGCCTCCCCCCGGCATTGTCGTCTCGAGCAGCGCCCCGCAGCGCACTGGTCTCCGCGTCGGCCACCGACGCTTCGCGCCCCCGAGAAGAGCGACGCAGGGCCGGCTGCGGCGAGATTTGTCTCTCCAGCTTCGCCTGCGTCGCCATGCATCTAGCCCGTCGAAGTCTGCCTCCCCAATCTCGTTGATCTTTGGGCCTCTGATCTTCCTGCGCAGCCTGGCCGTTCTCGAAATCTGCTCACACGCTGATGGAACTCCCTCCCGCGAGAGCCTTTTGCAGCAGGTCGCCAGCGGCTCGCGCCGCCCCACCCTGCCCGTTCTGGCCAGCTTCGCGCGCGCGTTGAGCGCCGTAGCCATGCGGCCCCAGTCTTCTTCGTGCTGAAGATGACGCACTATTGGCCGATTCACGCTGCGCGCGCCCCCTGAACTGTTAGGATCGCCCTCTGCCTTTGCCGGTCGCGGCTCGGGATATCTTTCGCCCGGCAGTGGGCGCCCCCCATCGTGCTGACCCGGCGGCGGCGTTCTCCGCGCAATCAGTTGGCTTCCTTACCAAATGCTTTGTAGAGCTGCGGGACGGTGATGCAGTCGGTGGGCTCGGGGGATCGCGGCTGGTGCTCCTTCTCGAATCTCTCGCCCATGCCGATGGCGTCGGCTGCGGCCATCGCGTCGCCTCTGTCGTGGCCGGCTGGCTCTGGCCCCAGTTCGCCGTCGTCTGCCACGGTGCAATCCCGCCGTTCTTACCCTTGCGTCTGCCCAGTCGCCTCGGCCCCAGACCCCAATTCTAGCCCTGCCACCGAAGCATCTGGAGGGGTCGACGTTGCGGCTGGTCCAGCGCGCCCCGCTTCGGCGCCCCTTGCGATTGCATCTCCCACGCGTCGGAGCTCGGGCGGTGGTTCTTCTTGATGCCTGGGGTGGCACATCCAAATCTTCTCGGTCTCCTCGATCACATTCCCTCGGGCTTGTCCATGTAGGCGGTGGTCCTCTGGGCGCCCTCGATGTTGCGATTGTATCCAGCTGCCTTCGCGGAGCGATCCACCCTGTCCTCCACTCCGAGATCGCGGTCTGCAGCGACGAGCCCACCTCGCCTTGCTCTCCTGGCCACTCGCGGTGCGCGCCCCTGCTCTCTGGCGCGTCGTCGCTAAACTCTCCGCCTGGCAGTCTCGGGGGAGCTGTCCAGCCAATTGGCGAGATGGCCCCCCCAGCGCGCGTCGGCGATCTTCTCGTCGTCACGCTGTAGATGTGGTCGTTGCTGCCGCGGCGGTGCCAGTGATTCGCGCTCGGCTCCGTCTCGCCCCCTTCTGCCGCTCGCGCCCCTGGGCTTTGTCGCCTGCGTTCGACTTCCTCCGCCCGTCCAGCTATCGGGCGGCAGGGCGCCGTCGGCAGCGCCGGCCCCCTGGAGATGCGACGCTCGATCTTCGCCTCGACGCGCAGCGGCTGGCCCGCGCGCGGCCCCTGGCTGGCGCCCGCGACGGGCTCGAGGTCGACGACGCGCCCGCGGGCCCGGGGCCTGCGAGCCCGAAGCCGAAGAGGGGGGCTCTGCGTCTGTCTTGTAGCAGGCCGGCAGGTCCCCAGATGGCGCGAAAATGCGCGCGTCGCCAGGCAGGTCGCATCGGCCCGCTCCGGCGAACCTGGTCGGGCGGGCATTGGTGTCCACCGCGACGTTCCTAGGCGTGCGCTGCGCGAACGTTGCAATCTCCGCCAATCTCATCGCGTCAGCTCCCTCCTTCAGCGGCTGGCCGCCGTCGCCGCCCAGTCCTCCGTCGGTCGCAGCTCCAGCGCGCCTGCGCCGCGCAGCGTGCGGTGCCAGCCCCCTGAAGCACGACGTCCTGAAGTGCACCCACGCCGCGACAAAGCGCCGCCCATCGAGCCCCCCCTCGGACTTGACTGACTGTTGGGCCGCCGCGAGGCACGTCGCGAGACCCCGCGCGCGCGGCATCGCATAATTCCCCTCAAGCACTTGCATGCGCAGATGCGTCTCCTGCAGCATATGCGTACCAATACCTCCTTGCCCACTGTGCAGGTTGCCGTCCGTCCATGCGCGCATGCCATGAAGTCGCGGCTCCACAGCGGACCCGCGGCGATGCTGCCGACGAAGATGGCCCTGACGCCAGAGTCGGACTTTGCTATCAATCGGGCGCCAGGCGGTGATCGTCAAGCGGACGCCTTGAACCGGGCAGCCCGTCCGGCTGCTTTCGACCTGGCCTTCTGGAGCGCCTCCTCCACCATGTCCGCGTCCTTGTCTTTGTCGTCGGCTGCCGTCTGGTCGCCAGTCTGGCCCCCGCTCGAGTGGCTCGCCGCCGATGCCGCTGCTGCCGCCGCGGATGGTGGTGCAGCTGTCTCCTTTGTTTTGGTCGCGTCGATCCTTCTCTTCTTGGCCTCCTGCCGGATGGCCTCCTTGCCCACCGCTAACGCCTTCGCCCTGCTGATGTACTCATGGGGCCAGGTGGTGAATGCCTGCGCCCCCGATTGCAAGTCGCATCGGCACCTTCATCTTGGCCCCCGCGACCGCCATCTTGGCTGTTTCGCCACCTCCTCGTCATCAGGCTCCACGTCCTTCTCCAGGTCAATGGTTCCTTGAAGCGTCAGCTGTTCTAGGGTTATGATGGCGACCAGCTGCTCCATGAAGCTCTGCTGCTGGGCCATGCCTTCGCCATGGATATTTTCGAAAAGCGGGTCTTGCTTGGCGACCTCCGTGGCCGACCTCTCCGGGCGAGTTTTCACCCTCGGCGGGTCAGGAGCGCCTCGGTCTTGGCCGCGGAACCCTTGAGCTGACTGCCGAACGGCGCTCCACTTGCCAGCTGCATGCCGCCCTTTTGCTCCCCGATCGGGACCAACGCCCGGGCGAGTTCCTTGGTTTCCGCCCTCTGACCACCCCATCGCTTCTCGTTGTAGCCGCCGTCGTAGCCTTTGTCGTAGTTCAGTTGGTTGCCGTTCTGCTGGCCGTTGGCCGACCACGGCCTTTTGAAGGCGGCCTTGCAACATTTGCACTGGAGGCCGTCCTTCCAAACTTTTGTCGGGGATCCAACCATGCCAAGTCCATGAAGGTCGGCACGTGAAACACTCGGCCCTACTACCATACTGCCAGCCCTTCGGCGTCATGTGCCCGTGGTGCTCTCGAAAGATCGTGTTCGCCCTGGCCAGTGACAACAGCTCTTTCGCACAGCACTTGTCTTTCTCGCTCGTCTGTGCCATGCTGGAGACCAAGAGCGCTGGTGCCTCTCCGCCTCCGCGATCGCGCTAGGCGCTCGGGCTAGAGCCAAACGCCTGGGAGCGTTCCGGGCAGAGCGGACGGAATGAGGTCGAAAGGAAAACAAGGAGCTAGACGGGAAGCGGGAGGACAACGAAATCCGGGGCTGTGATCATCTCAGCTGCTGGTAGAGGACGGCTGCTGCCAGAGGTCAGGGGAGAGACGAGAGAGGCTAACAAAAAGGAACAACTATAAGGGAAGGAAAGATTCAAACGGAGAGGTTCGGAGGGCAGAGCAGGCATCCCTCCCCCGCCCCCTCCACCTTCCCCTCCCTCTCCTCACCCTCCTCATCCCCCTCCTCCGCTACGTCCACCTCCTGCTCCTCCTCCTCCCCCTCCTCTCCTCCTCCTCCTCCTCCTCCTCCTCCTCCTCCTCCTCCTCCTCCTCCTCCTCCTCCTCCTCCTCCGACTCCGACTCCAACGTTAAGCTCCAATGTTGCCTTCTTGGGCTTGCTCTGGTGGCATGCGGGCCACAGTTACGTGCTCTTGGGGCCCCATTGTGGCCAGTTCGCGGCAACTCGACGTCCTCGTGTGCCATTGGTGGGGCTGTCTTGGAGCCCTTTGGAGGCAATTTGGCGCACTCCTGGGCCAGCTTTGGGCCGTCTTGCAGGGCCCTGCTGGGAAATCGTATGCTCCGCTGGGAGCCCTCTTCGGCCCTTTAGGCGCAGTCCTGGGCAATGTGGATACCATCTGGTGGTTCTTGACCGCTAATGGGTACTCCGAGGCCCGCTTGAGCCATCTCGAACAGAAAGCGGGGAATATCCCAAGGCCGCCAAACAAACACTCAAATACCGCCCGAGATGCTCGAACGATGTCAGCAACCTGGGAGCGCTCTTAAGGCTTAGGGCCCCTGTAGTCGTCCCCCAGGATCACCGTTGGACAACCTCTGATCTCCCTTGGGCCCGCTCGGGCTCCCTCGGAGTCGTCCGGGAGCCTTCCTGAAATATCTTCGGGTGCACTGGGGCTGCCTGGGTATCTGTTTGAGCCTTCTGAGAGGGCTCAGGGAAACTCTTGGAAGGCGCCTGGGGGCAGTCAGGGGAGACCCAAGAAGGCTTCGAGACAGGAGGGGGCCCTTGTGTAGATTTCGTAGCTCGTGGGCAAGAGGGTGTAGCAAGATCCGGCGATGACTGAATCATGGAAATAGCCGCCTGAATCACGAAAACAGCCGCCCTCCATCCGTGCAGCTGCTGGCAATGCCTAGCTGTGTGAAAAGAAGGCTAACAAACTCCCACCGTTAAAGACGCTGAGGCAAGGAACGCAGAGGACGTCGCCGGCGATACGCACAGACCGCCGAACACCAGCACGCCTGGTGATGCGACGAGGAGTGATTTGCTCTGTCGTGAGGAAGAGAGATTGAGGGGAGGGATAGAGGAAGCGAGGGAGGAACCGAGGAAGGGGCACAAGGGAGGGACTGAAGCAGGGAGAGAGACAGAAGAGAGGGAGGGCGGGATGGAGGGAGGCAGGGAAGAGCGAGAGCAAGGGACGGAAAAAACGAAAAGGGGGATAGGAAGGTCAGAGCCGTCATTCGTCCCACGGTCCTGCTCCCCCTGGCAAGACCTGCGGATAAACGCCTCGCGCGCAGCCAAAATCTGGGCCTGCATTTCCCGCAACTCTGGACAGTCGTCGGCCTCGACGACGGCCTCCTGGCCCGCGTAAGCGCCGAGCGAAACGGGGCCACCGCTGCGCCCGTCTTCGGTGAAGAACTGGTGAGGCACTCTGAAGAGCCCGGTATCCATGAAGCAGTCCCCCGACTGGCACCCAGGCACGGCCTCCAGGGCGTGGAAGTGGACGTGGTCGACCCCGTCCGGCAACGAGCTAAAGAAGCCACGTACCTTGGCCAGACTTCAAGAATCAGAGCACTCGGCATTCCGAACAAAAGGGGTAGGGGTAGGGGGACGGCTTCTGAGAGGCAGGGCTGCTTCCGAGAAGCCTTCCCTCCTTCCCATGCCCCCGCTGCGCGTGGCAGAACACGGCCCTGGCTGGCAGAGCTCGATCCCAGGGCCGCCGAACGAATCCTCCCGAGGAAACCGACGCGCACACTGCTGGACCCTGCCGTGCCGACGTGAGCGCTGCTTCCTGACACTGCGTACATCGTTCGTTATTGACCGATCTGTTATCAGCGGCGAGCTGAGTGGGGAAGTGAGAAGGGGAAGGCGAGAAGGCCTCCTTAGAAAACGGCGGCACTTCTTAGAAGCCCTCCGGCCTTCCGAGGCGTGTTCTGCGCCATCGGGGAAGGCTACACGCAGGAGTGACCTCGGGTGAGAAAGGACCTTTGGTGCGCGGTTCTTTGGGGGCCGCGGGGACGCCAACCCCAAACGCGCAAGACGCTACTACCGCATCGCGCTCGGCGATCGAGGGACCGCCATGGGCCCGCACCAACGGTCACTCCGGCGAAAGTTAACGCGTACGCGTAGTCGAGAACTGCCCGCTCCCTATCATTTCCCCCGGGCCGGCCGCCGATATCTCACCGTTTTCTGTGCGGGTTCTGCTCCTGCGGGCCAGCACATTCGCTGCGGCCCTCATCATCCTGCTACATCCTCGTCGTCAGAATTCTGTCCCGACTCCCTACCCCTCCCCCCGGCTTCCACTCTGATCCTTCCTCCCCCTTCCCCCTCCTCCATCTTCCTCCTCCCTCCGCCCAGGTTGGTCGCCGCCGCCGAGAAAGGGTGCGTTCCGACCAGAGTCCCGAGGCGAATCCAGCGGTGGCGACGGGGGCGCCCCAGGAGGCTCTGAAGCTAAAGGGGCCCTGGGACGCACAAATGAATACACACAAATAAAGGGATCCCCCATATTTCCTTATTTTTTTTGGGTTTTTGTCTTCCCCCCCACTTCCCATATTTTTACATATTTTCTGGGAATCGTCGATTAATTGTGTCTGTGTGTTTTTCCCCTCCTGAGAAGCATGGGTCCGGCCGCCGCTGGCCGGAGACCTGCGCTGGCGCCGCCGCTCGGCGCGGCGTGAACCTGCCGCACGCCCTCTGCGTGGCACCATGCGACGGGGGCACGACATTGACTACCGACCAGACCACCCCAACCCGACCCGAAGACCCGAATTTGATCCGAATTTCGGGTTGGGGGGGGGTACGGATACCGTGTGTTTTTTCAACGTTCCCCGACCCCCCCACTGGAAATGGAAGGCAAGTTGAGGGCTTCGGGTTGGGTTGGGGTGGTTTGGTGGGTGGTGAGACATGGCACCCATCACGGGGGCTCATAGGCCACAAGGGCCAGGGGGCGGCATGAGTTGAACAGCCTCGACCTTATCCCGATCCCCTACCCCTAGGACCGACGAGCCCGAGGCGATGACAATCTTAGGGCATATGCCCTCAGAAACCGACGGGATCCTATAACATCGGCAGTGAAGAATGTGAATATACAGAAATGTTCCAAGCTGCTAACGACTAGAATCAAAGCTCTACACATTACCCGACACGTTTTCAGCCATTCCCAAAACGTGCGACGACTATCTAATGAGTGGCTCGCCCAGCACACGATAATGATGAAATGGGCGCGCGTGAGGCAGGAAGAACCCTGGGGAACCGCGCGGTTTAGTCTGACGCCGCGGGGCCTCCCAGGACCCCTCGTGCATGTCGACGATTGCGCACGTGACAACCCCCCCCCGAGGGAGCCGCGATGTCGAGTTTGAATGCGCGCAGGACACCATTCCACTGAACCTCCCAGGAGCAAGCGAAATTGGCGACAGTCGCGCAGGCGGCAACCCTGTTGGGAGCCGCACGGTCGAATCCAGACACGCGCGGGACACCACTCAAGCGAGCCTCCCAGGAACCCACGACAATGGCGGCAATTGCACAGGTGGCAATCCCCCACGGGACCGAAGGGTTGGCTGTGGACGCGCGTGGGTCATCACTCCACCGAACCTTCCCGTCACCCATGAAACTTGCGACGATTGCGCAGCAAGCGGCACCCCAAGGAGACGGAAATTATCATCTGGATGTGCGTAGGACACAAGTGGGCCACCCGGGTAACAACGAAACTGGCGCCGAATTGCGCAGGTGGCAACCCCCAGGGATCCGCGAGGTCGGGTCTGGATGCGCAGAAGATGCAATTCAAGCGGGCCTCCCCACGAAAACGGCCACGGAAGGCGCAGGTGGCAGCCCCCTGGGGAGCTGCGGCCCGAGAGGCCACTGCTGGGAAGGCTGCCGCTTCCACGACGCATTTAGTTCAGGAGATGCGAGCGTCTCAGGCGGCGGCGCAAGTCCACAATGCCCTGGGTAATCCGCTCGATCATCCTCCATGGCCAGAACTGGAAGCCGGTGCTGTCGTGGCCATCCATGCGCACGTGCGCGCGCCTGGCGGCGCGCCAAGGAGGTTCGTGAATTGCTCGAGGATCTGCAGGGCGTTGGAGACCAGCGCGGCGGTCTTCCTCGACATGCCCCCACGATGATCTCGAAACCCAACTCGGCACTGGTCGGATATGACCATGCGTGCGCCCGGCGCGACCGGCGCCGCCAGCCAGGGCGGCTCCTCGCACAGCCGCGGGAGGGCCAGGCTGGTCGTTTTCGACGTGGCTGTCGAGCTTCGGCGACTACAATGGGTGCGGTTTGCGAATGGTGCGGTTTGCCTCCAGTCATATCTGCCCCTTCCGCCCCTGGGAAGCGAATGACACTGTCACTCAATGCGACCGAATCACATGACACTGTCGCTCCTGCTAATACAGTGGAGCACACATCGAGGATGACAGTGTCTCTCGAAACGACGACAGTTATGACATTGTCTCTCACAAAAGCCCCAGACAGGCCGCCACAAAGCAACTCGCAAACCGCACCCCGGCGTAACCGCACCCATTGCAATCGCCGGGAGCTGCAGGCCGCGCGGGGCCGCGTCGTCGCGCGAACGCCTCCACAAGTTGCAGTCGCGATTGCACTGAAACGTATCCGAGCGACCGGAAGCCTGCATGCGGGGGCCATGATGGCCACTAAGGGATGTATCTCTCCACGGCTCTCTGCTGGCACTCGTCGTTCAGGTCGCAGCCCGTGGCCGGGCCGAATTTGGCGCATGCCCTGAGGCGGCGGTGGACAGCGAGTCCGCTGGTCCGCCCGCCCCACCACAGATCTCCATGATGCCAGTCCCGTGGACAACGGAGGTGAAGTGGGTGAGGAGGTGGTGAACGTCGTCGAACTCGGAGGACTGCGACGTGTGAACATTCGCCAGATGGCGATCCGATGCCAGGGCCGCCGAACCATTGAACCGCCATGTCGGCATGCCTGCGGTGAGGTTACCGCGGAAGTCGTCGTCGTCGTCGTCGTCGTCGCACTCGCCGGCATGGCCCAGCTTGCCCACGACTGGGTTGCCCAAGAGATGCGGGGCAATGCCCGCGAGGTCGGCGGTCGGCGCCGCAGTCGTCGAAGTGGTCCTTTACGACCTGCTCTGGGCACGCGATTCTCTTCATTTTCGCATTCTGGCGCGCGTGCGCGGCCGCGTGGTGGGCGACGACGACATAGTCGCCAGGCGTCTCCCGCGGTAAGTCGGATTTGTCGGTTGGCGCCCTTCTGCGGGGAGGTGCGGACTGATTGACATCGCGCTGCTTGGTGGCACGCTGCCTGGCGCTATCCTACGATGAAGCATTATCTGGATCCTCGTCGGCTGCGTCAGCCGACCCCCAGGGGGCCCTTCAAAAGCGGCGTCTTCTGCGTGTCATCGTCTGGAAGCGGGTTCGGATCCAGCGCGTCAGAATAATCCAGCCCCCCATCGCGCGTAGGCGCACGGCTCGGCGGCGAAAAGCTGCGGTCCTTGAACAACTTGGTTGGCGTAGCGGGCGGGTCGGCGCGGGCAGACGTCTCGACCCAATCGCCGACCTCTGCGGTGCCCTGCAGCCCGAAGCCGAAGACCATCGCCGCCCTGCGGAACTCGCCCGGGTCGAAGTTCTCGGAGGCACCTGGCCAACTATTGTGGAGTGAATCCCGCTTGTCCTTCATCGCCGTCTTGAACGCATTGGTAAACGCCCATTCGGACGCCCACCACATCTGCTGGGTGCGCTCGAGCTGCTCGGTCATCATGATCAGCATGTCGCCGCGGCCGCCAGCGCCCATGCAAGCGGCTGCGATCATGGATGGTCAGGTCGCTGAAGTCCTTGTCAACGCGATGCTTGAACGTGTCGTCGTCCATCAGGGTTTGCGCCACCTCCGTCCATGAGCGCATCTTCGCACTTGGTTCGCAGCGAATCGCGTGGATGACGCCGCCCTGGTCGAGGTCCACGCAATCGTCCGAACAGCCGCTGGGGGAAAACAAAAAAACGCATTGCATCTTGCATTTGGATGGGCTGGACATTCTGCCAGTGAGTGTTGATTCTCTGGCAGCCTTGAACGCCGCATGGCTGCGGAATGCGACGGCGCACGCTCACTCGTACTCAGACGCACTCAAGTTCAAAACTCGCACTCTGACCCACTCAGCCATATACCGATTGACGCTGATGCCAAGGCACATGTTTCGCAGCAGCACCACCGCAAGCCCGATGCAGAACTGGACGTGCAAACGCAGGAAATCATCTTCACGAACGAATCGATCGCGAGTGTGCGGCGACGGTTATGAAAAGCAGGTTGTGCCACCTCTGGCGGCGAGTCTAGTGCGAAAAGGTTGCCCGGCGCGTGCGCCTTCATCAACGCCGGCCAATGAAACCCGCCAGAATTTGCAGCCTGGGGTGTGCCTGATTAGGATCTCTACAAACTCGCAGAACGGACGCTGCGCGTCTCTGAACTCGGCGTTCAAAACAATTGTGCTAACGGAGTTCCCCACATAAAGATGTTACGGGGTTCCATTGCTTCTTGTCTGCGCTCTGGTGGGGCCTCCCTGGATGGGTGAGAGGGGCACGAAACCT